AAATTAGATTTCAGCTAGCGCTTTACAAGTGGACGCAACAGCAAGATTCAAAACGTGACTCTGCAATGATGATAATATGCTCTTCGTTAGATTTGCTGTATGCAGGTCAAATTTATTCGTTTATTGTGTGTTAATTTACGTTTTTTGATTGAGTTAAGCCTTCCAATTGATATTTTATAGTGTGTTTTTCTATGTTGTGATGTTATACTATTGGTTCAGAAAAGGGAGAAGGTTTGGTACCATTAAAACATTTAATCCCGCTGCAAATGTTTGCACCTGTCCTAAGTCAGGAATCTGATTACAGTAGTTGTCGTCTGTATATGTAGTTCATACGTGTTTCTCGTTTCTCGTTTCTCGTTTTTATATAGATTAGACCGTTGGTTTTTCCGTTTGAATGGTTTTACACTAGTAATTTTTTGGGGCCCTTTATAGCTTGCTGTTTGGTGTGAGCCAATGCTCCGTGTTGAAGGCCGTACCTTGACCTATAATGGTTTACTTTTATAAATTGTAACTTGGATGGAGAGTTGTCTCATTGGCACTCATACCACATCTTCCTATATCTATTTAATACCAGAAACATTACCAGACATTATACGCTAGCACCATTTCTTGATAAACTAAGAAATAGACACATGCTACATGTAAAACGCATCACGGCACTTTTATGGGTTGTGTTTCGCCCTGATATTTCTTGGAATGTCTTCAAATTCTTACATGGTTTTCCCATTGTGAAAGTGACAACCGTTGAAGTACTAACGGAAAAATTTTCGTTTTTCTGAAGTCTTCATAATAGATGAAAACAATTTTATAAAGTTTTTATATAGAAACAGACATTTACTATATATGTCGCTGGAATAAATGACTCCTTCAAGTATTTCAAATTCCCTGCTATTGAAAAACTATAAAATTTAAAAAAGCGAGAATAACACTTTAGAACAACATACAAATCATTATTCTGTGCATATTGACTAATGTATATTTTATTCTTATTTATATCAAAGTCAATGAAACTCTGTACTAATTGGAGTACTACATGTTTTAGGGAAAACGTCAACACGCAACGATGTTTCAATTTTAGACGTAACCGGTTAAATATGAGGGTTTGAATGGGGGACTTCAAATATTTATTTTGATCATTTTTGTCCATAATTTGATTTCCTTTCTTTTATATTTAAGCACCATTTTAAATCTCTATTCTTTTAAGTTTAAAATAATTTCAGGGCATGTTTCTGTATTCTGTAAACCTCACTCAGACCCTCATATTCTAGGAATTATTCTCTCACAAAATTAATAATTTACCGGCTCGTGAAATGGATCATCATCTATTCTACTGATTTTGCTTGGGGTAGGATTAAAATTTTCAGCTTCAATTGTGTCGATTTCTTTTGACTCTGACATATTTAGAAAACTACCGCAAAGGGGTTGGGATTTCCAGAGGTAAATGTTTCCACAAGTCTTGCATAACTCCCAAACGGCGATATACAAGTTGATTTAGTAGCGTGTCTGCTGCATTTTGTGAAGAAAAAAAGTTTTTTATTTTTTTTTAATTATTTTTTACCGAGGCAACTGCCTCGGTTGCCTCAACGTAAGCTACGCCAATGTGATGCTTAGGAAATCATGTAAAATAAGGTTAAAATCATAATTAATAGTATTAGATATTAGATATTATAATGATATCTGAGATATTAACAAAAAACTGCAAAATTTCTGTAAAATTCCTAACTCAGGGGTTGTCGGATTCGTCTGAAAATTTCAGGGCAGATAAATCTAAATCTGATGAACATTTTTGCCACCTGTCAGATTTGCTCTAAATGCTTTAGTTTCAGAGATATAAACCAAAAACTGCATTTTACATCTATGTTCTATTTTTAACCATGTCGGCCATGATGGTTGGAAGGCGGGGTCATCGGACAATTTTTTTAAACTAAATACACTAATAATGATTAAGGCCAAGTATGGTTAAATTTGTCTCAGTAGTTTCAGAGAAGAAGATTTTTGTAAAAGATTACAAAAATTTACGAAAATTGTTAAAAATTGACTATCAAGGGCAATAACTCCTAAATGGATCAACTGACAATTTTGGTAATGCGACTTATTTGTAGATCTTACTCTGCTGAACATTATTGCTGTTTACAGTTTATCTCTATCTATAATAATATTCAAGATAATAACCAACTAGAGGCTCTCAAGAGCCTGTGTCGCTCACCTGTATTTACTGATGTTTTTTAAATCATGTAAAATAAGGTTAAAATCATAATTAATAGTATTATTTATTAGATATTATAATGATATCTAAGATAATAAAAAAAAAACGGCAAAATTTCTGTAAAATTACTAACTCAGGGGCAGCAACCAAACAACGGGTTGTCGGATTCGTCTAAAAATTTCAGGACAGATAAATCTAAATCTGATTTTACCCCCATGTTCTATTTTTAGTACAACCTTCATGGCCGACTTGGTTAAAAATAGAACATGGGGGTAAAATGCAGTTTTTTGTTTATATCTCTGAAACTAAAGCATTTAGAGCAAATCTGACAGGTACAATTTCATAAAGATCCATACACTTACACACAAGTTATTGTCCTGAAACTAGAAAAATGCTTGTTTTTTTGCCCTTTTATGGCCCCTAATTCCTAAAATTTTGAGGGAATTACCCCCAAAATCAATCCCAGCCTTCCCTTTGTGGTATGGTACTTTGCAGTACAATTTCAGAGAGATCCATACACTTGAACACAAGTTATTGTCTGGAAACTAGAAAAATGCTTATTTTTGGCCCCTTTTTGGCCCCTTCTTCCCAAGCTTTTTGGTCAATTACCCCCAAACTCAATTCCAGCTTTCCCTTTGTGATATGTAACCTTGTAGTACAATTTCATAAAGATCCATACACTTACACACAAGTTATTGTCATGAAACTAGAAAAATGCTTGTTTTTTGCCCCTTTTTTGCCTCTAATTCCTAAAATTTGGAGGCAATTACCTCCAAAATCAATCCCAGCATTCCTTTTGTGATATGAAACCTTATGATACAATGCCAGAGAGATCCATACACTTACACACAAGTTATTGTCATGAAACTAGAAAAATGCTTGTTTTTTTCCCCCTTTTTGGCCCCTAATTCCTAAAATTTGGAGCAATTACCCCCAAAATCAATCCCAGCATTCCCTTTGTGATATGAAACCTTGTGGTACAATGTCAGAGAGATCCATACACTTACACACAAGTTATGTCTGGAAGTTACAAAAATGCTTATTTTTGGCCCCTAATTCCTTAACTGTTGGTACCATAACCCTCAAAATCAATCCCCACCTTCCTTTTGTGGTATTGAACCTTATGGTAAAATTTCATTGAGATCCATTCACTTAAACTAAAGTTAGAGTGCGAAAACTAATGTGTCTTCGGACGACGACGACGACGACGCCAACGTCATACCAATATACGACCACAAAATTTTTTTTGCGGTCGTATAAAAACTACAAAATTTCATTAAAATTACAAATTCAGGGGCAGCAACCTAACAACAGGTTGTCAGATTTGTCTGAAAATTTCAGGGCAGATAGATCTTGACCTGATAATCAGTTTTATCCAGTCTGATTTACTCTAAATACTTTGGTTTTAGATATATAAGCCAAAATGTACATTTTACCCCTATGTTCTTTTTTTAGCCATGGCGGCCATCTTGTTTGGTTGGCGGGGTCATCGGACACATTTTTTAAACTAGATACCCTAATGATGATTGTGGCAAAATTTGGTTAAATTTGGCCCAGTGGTTTCAGAGGAAAAGATTTTTGTAAAAAGCTAACGACGACGACGACGACGACGGACGACGGACGCCAAGTGATGAGAAAAGCTCACTTGGCCCTTCGGGCCAGGTGAGCTTAAAACTGCAAAATTTTCTAAAAATTACCAATTCAGGGGCAGCAACCCAACAACGGGTTGTCCGATTTGTCTGAAAATTTCAGGGCAGATAGATCTTGACCTGCTTATCAGTTTTGGTTTGTCAGATTTACTCTAAATGCTTTGGTTTCAGAGATATATGCCAAAATCTACATTTTACCCCTATGTTCTATTTTTAGCCATGGCGGCCATCTTGGTTGGTTGGCGGGGTCATCGGACACATTTTTTAAACTAGATACCCTAATGATGATTGTGGCAAAGTTTGGTAAAATTTGGCCCAGTGGTTTCAGAGGAAAAGATTTTTGTAAAAAGCTAACGACGACGACGGACGACGGACGCCAAGTGATGAGAAAAGCTCACTTGGCCCTTCGGGCCAGGTGAGCTAAAAACTGCAAAATTTCCTTAAAATTACCAATTCAGGGGCAGCAACCCAACAACGGGTTGTCCGATTTGTCTGAAAATTTCAGGGCAGATAGATCTTGACCTGCTAATCAGTTTTACCCTGTCAGATTTACTCTAAATGCTTTGGTTTCAGAGATATAAGCCAAAATCTACATTTTACCCCTATGTTCTATTTTTAGCCATGGTGGCTATCTTGGTTGGTTGGCCGGGTCACCGGACACATTTTTTTCAACTAGATACCCCAATGATGATTGTGGCCAAGTTTGGTTAAATTTGGCCCAGTGGTTTCAGAGGAGAAGATTTTTGTAAAAGTTAACGGATTACGGACGCCAAGTGATGAGCAAATCTCACTTGGCTCTTTGGGCCAGGTGAGCTAAAAAAGGGGTTAGTCTTTGTTTGAACTGACGGTTTATATTTACACTTTGAAACGACACAATATTTTCTTTATCTGTTTAGTCAATTTGACACCATTCAGGTGATTTAGTAACCAGAGTACATAACAGACAATTACCATGGTGCTACCCCAGGAATAGACTTTAGCTGTATTTGGCAAAACCTTTCATAATTTGGGCCCACAATGATTTTCAATTTCGTTCCTACTTAAGCCTTTTCAATTTTTGTGATGAGTGCACACATTTATATGTCTGGTATCTTTGATGTGTTTTTCTATTATAATCATATCCATAAGTCAATTAAAATCAAATCTAAAGATAATGATACTGCCTTCAATATACTAAACAAGAACCCATGTAATAATAAACCTACAGTTTACATTTATATTTAATGAATAGATGATATACATCGAATAGAGAATATTACAAGTCCACAGAGATTAAAGTTTAATAAAAATGATTATACATTTTATACCTTATTCAACAGTAAAATACAATTTTTGAAATTAAAACAGAAAATCAACTGCACAATACCATAAACATAATTTCATGTTATAATTAATGGGAAATTCTTTTATATACTACTCTAAATAAGCATAAGAAATCAGCAATAAGTTTGTTGAGTGATTAATGCTACATTTATTTTTTAATACAACCAATTTTCATCACATAAAAACATAAAGAAAAAGTAATGATTTATACAAAAATCTAACAAAAGCTACAGCGTTCTGCACTAAGTATTTGTGTTTACAAGATTTTGCTATATTCATATTGAACTAAGTTTTTTTTACAAAAAAAGAAATGTTTTGGAGTCATTTTTGTTTGAAATCTTATCTTCAAGTTGGCACTAATAGCAGAAGATTTTTTTTGAATTTGGTTATATTTCTATTGGGAAATGTTTACATTTTCTGATGATATTGAAGTACTATTTTTTGTCCGGAAATTTGTTATATATTTAAATCAAATTAAATTGTAAACAATTGTTATGTTCACATTTGCAGCAGGAACTAAATGTAACTGTAAACTAAATTAGATTATTGATTTTCTGGTGCATTAAAATTGGTACCGTTAATGTTATTAACAAAATAGATAAATATATTTCAACGTCTTTTATCACATGGTTTTTCTTAAAATCCAACCATCAAAGTATTTTTTAAAAGATATGTTATCATATGAAATATAGCAAAACATTGCAGATAACGAATACCTATTACACAACGCTGTATAGTGAATATAACAGGATATTTACACTTTAATGGTAAACATATGGGTAAAATGGTAAATGATAAAATCGTATCCCTTTTTTACACAAGAATTAAAACTTGAATTTGAATCTACGTAAGTAAATAAGTTTAAATTACCTCGAATGGGTGACGAACAAAACATTAGTTTTTATTGTTTTACAAGCTAACAGGAGTATGAGTTGAAGTCTTAATTATGACGCCAATGACATGCCACATAAGAACCTGTCAAGTAACACCATGCTATAATTAATACACTAGCTACGAATGGCTATTTCACATTTTAATTTTTGGTAAAAAAAGCTACCAGCAGCAGCCTAATCACAAATAAAATTGAGAATGGAAATGGGGAATGTGTCAAAGAGACAACAACCCGACCAAAGAGCAGAAAACAGCCGAAGGCCACCAATGGGTCTTCAACACAGCGAGAAAATCCCGCACCCGGAGTCGGGCTTCAGCTGGCCCCTAAACAAAAATGTGTACTAGTTCAATGAAAATGGACGTCACACTAAACTCCAAAACATATAAATGAACTAAAATTAAAAAAACATACAAGACTAACAAAGACAAAACATCTTTTGAACCAATATATATATATATTATGGTGTTTGTTGTGATTTGTATCTAAATATTAACTGTGGTCATTTGTAAGATTAAGCAATTCTTCATTAAATAAAAGAAGCTTCATTTCTATTTTAACTGATAATTATTAATTTAGGAGAAATTTACCTGGATTATTTCTTGTCAATTATCATATGAATTTCTCCATGTCAATGTTTAATGCAAAATGTTTAACCTTATTTTTTGCATTTTATTTCTTTTGCTGCTGATTTTGGGCTGTCGTTTTGAGAAAACTAATTAAAGTTATAAATGCAATTTCCAGTTCTTTTACCTCAACTTATTTGAAAAAGTAAATAGCAATAATGCGTATTTATTTTCTTTTTTTTCCCTAATTTATAAAATTTGGCCAGAAGTATCAGTATTCAGTATATTACAACGTCTCTTTTCTGTAAAAAAGACATCCTTCCAACAAAATTACACACACAACATTAAAACCAATTTATAGAAATTAAAAAAAAATCAAAAATAATCTTATGAAAATTGAGGTCTATATAAGTTATATAATCTCTAATTATAAACAAAATATGAAGTGAATACCTTGAATATTATTGAAGAAATTTCAAAAACAAAGAACCTTGACATCTATAAAATGTACGAAATACGTTTAGTACAACCATGCAATGTTTATTCCTCATCTCCTGTGCACAATGTCATGGTGACCTCGACTTGGTTAGGATTATATCCGGACACAACAGGAACAAGAGGTTCAGAACAATCAACATCGTCCATCTGGCATATCGATTTATTTTTGCTTGCATCAAAGATCCTCCATACTCCGCTGGTAGCATCAAGAAGGAATCCAAAGGTTTTATCCATGGTACAACCAATAGCATTTTTCGATAATGTCTCATGAAATAGACACTTTCCGCCACGAGCAATATGGAGACAGATGGCATCACAATCAACATGTTGGGAACATATCATTGACCAGGCATGCGGTTGTCCATCGACAACATGCTTTTTATCCATTTCATTTCTCCGGGCCAATCCAAGTTCGAAAACGAGGTTGCTTTTCTCCAGTTGACTTCGAATTTTATATCTTATGTTAACTTCGTAGTAGAATTTACCGGGACTGGTAAATAGTGTATTTCCATATGTACCCTTAAACTTGTGGAGTCTAAAATAAACGAAAATATTGCATAATTACTTATTATAGTATGTCATTAAAATACAATTCATTGTCGTTTTACTGTGATCGAGAAAAATAAATGCAATTTTCATTGTTAATCATTTAATATTTCAACCACTTACACTTTATAAATGTGGATTTCTAAACTTTGAAAGAAGAGGTCAGACGATTTCATTGTTGGCAAACAGAAAAGTCGGCGTATTGTGTATAATAGTCTATACACAAGCGAGCCTTGTCTAAAACAATTAACTGATCGGGATATGAACGAATACGTGAATAAATGTCCACATCAAATAAGAAGCTTTTCAATTATAAAATTGCGCGCTAGCCTATTTTGTAAAGCTGACGAAGTATTTCTAGTTAAACAGGCATTTATTGAAATGTAGATTTTACCTGTCTTTTGTTGACTCCATCAAAGTTCCAGAGGGACTGTTGACAAACGTTTTACCATCTGGGGTAACTGTTACATCTCTATGGGCTTTCTTTCGTTCCAGTGTAAAGTCTGGTCCTTGAAAAAAAACCAATCATATAATAGTGATTTAAATAATAAATTACGATGTCAGAACAATAAAGAGAAGTAAGAGAATATGAAACTAGAGACCCTAAAGAGCCTGTGTCGCTTACCTTGGTAAAGTGCATATTCAGCAAAGGACAATCTCCAACATTGTAGACGAGAATAGAACTCATGACAAAAATCTCTGTTTTGTTGATCTTGTATGGCTGATCATTTATAGTCTGTTTAGTTTCTCTCTATCTTCTTTAGATTTTGCTCAAAACACAAAAGAGGGTAAAAAAAATACCCATTTAAAATTTGACTTGTTAGTAGATCTTGCCTTGCTGATCATTTTTGTGATTTAAAGTGTCTATTTATTATAATTTTTATCATATAAGGCAAAACGCAAAAAAATTGGTAAAAATCGTCATTAAAGTGCAATAACTCCAATAAGGAGTGGTCGGACGATTTCCACCATATTGTCTAAATTGAAGATCTTGTCTTGCTGAACATTGCTTATTTAAGTTTCTATCTATCTATTACAATTTTTAAAATATAAGGCAATTGAAAAACGAAAAAAATTGGTAAAAATCGTCATCAAAGGACAATAATTATAATAGGGAGTCGACTGACGATATCGACCATGTTAAACTTATTTGTAGAGCTTGTCTTGTTGATAATTTTTGCATTTTAAAGTTTTTCTCCATCTTTTATAATTTTCAAGTTAATAGGCAAAAATGAAAAAAAATGGTAAAATTTGTCATTTAAGGGCAATAACTCCTAAAAGAAGTCGTCTGACAGTTTTGATGTATATGAATAATTGATAGAGCTCAACATTCTAAACATTTTTAATTCTGTCAGATTTTCTCTATTTATAATGGTTTTCAAATTAATAGACAAAACATGCATTTTACCCCTATGCTCTATTTTCAGCCATGTCGGCCATCTTGGTTGGCAGGCGGGGTCATCGGACACATTTTTAAAACTAGATACCCCAATGATGATTGTGGCCAAGTTTGGTTAAATTTGGCCCAGTAGTTTCAGAGGAGAAGATTTTTGTAAATGTTTACGACGACGGACGCCAAGTGATGAGAAAAGCTCACTTCGTCCTTCGGACCAGGTGAGCTAAAAAGGGAGAAGAGGGGAATCAAAAACAATTTTTACAAAAACAAAACGACGACAAGACAAATAAAATAAAACACAACACATAGACCTTAAGATTGAGTAACTCTGAGTTACAAACAACCATCAAAAATCGTGAAAAAAATGCAAACCATTTTATTTACACATAACGTTTTGTTTCTAATCTCCAAAATCTATTTAAGTTCTGTTTATTTACATTCATTACACATATAAAATATACGTACTTGTCGCTCCGTCTAACTGACTTGCATCAATATTGGACCCTAAAATTATAAAAAAAAAATCCTGATGTACATAGTTATCAAGAGTTCGTAAAAGTACAATTAATTCCACGAACACAATGTATTAAATAGTGAAATATTTCGCAAAACAACATAATTATATTCAAACCGAAGTCAGGTACACAACATATCACACATTATCTCTAATCTTAACTGAATGAAAACGTCCTCCTTCAGGATAAAGAACACAACTATCTCATCTTATACAGCGAGATTTTAAAAGTGATGATTGTGTCTGTTCTTTTATTCATTCGTTTGTTCGTTTTTGTGTGTTTAGTTGGAAAATTTTATCTGTCTTTTTAAAACCAGGGTGACATTTTCGAAACAAAACACGGTCATTTTTCTTTTATCAATCTTCTTTCAAGCTACATGCAATAACACAATGTCTTTTGCAATCAATAATGATGAATAAATAAGAAGCAGCAATGGTATACGTAGTAGAGAATTGATAAGAAGTAGTGGATTCGTAAACGATAATCAACGAGCGACTTTAGTCGCAAGTTGATTATCGTTTCCGAATCCACTACTTCTTATCAATTCTCTAGCTTAATCCATTTCTAGTAAAACGACTGTCTGTTTTACGTTTTGACAATGAATCAACGATATCTCATAAAAATAGTTTCGTATTTTGTCTTTTTTATTCTATAATAGCTGGAAATGATTAAATCCACACGGTTCGCATCTATATTTAGACATTTGACAAGTTAACATAAGTTTAAAATTACTTAAATGGGGTGTAAGCTCCCCTTTTTAACACCAGATTTTATTTTTGTATATAATACATATTTCATATAATGTTTAATCATTACAAATTATTTAAATTGAATAGATTTTGGTATATTTAATTTATTCAAAAAGACGTATATTAATATACAGAATTTATTTATCTTGTTTTGAAAAGTTAAAAAATTTTAATTACCAAAATTTAGAACCTTCAAAATGTATTTATATAATATTTAGCAACTTGAATTGGTATATTGGAGATTAATCACCGTGAAGCCGTTCTTAGTCAGATAAATATTACTAGCGTTGATGCCATAAACCTGCCATTTCATGATAATGCTCAAATTCATGTTGCTTTCCATAAGTATTAAAAGTATGTGCTAACGATTTAAATTGAACAATTATATTTAAATTTTGTTTAAACTGTTTCCGTTTCATTAAGTTAAGATTATTTTAACGTTATTACATTTGGCATATATCGTTCACCGGTCAATAAACTAGTTTTATCTGTGGTACGCATTCTGAATCCCCATCAGAATTGCTCTTGCTACGGACTTACAATGAATAAGTATGTGGATTTCATTCATTTACCATCAAGCTGTTCATAGCCGTGATCGTCTAGTCGTTGGTAACGAATGTCATAACGGTGATATTAGCAGTGCAAAGTTCGAACCTAGTATCCGGAATGAAATTTTTTGATTGTAATTTTTTTCTGCACCAAAATATTGTTTTAATCCTAGAACATGTAAAAGTATTATATATATTTAATTTTCATATAATGGCGATGATTTTGTTTCTGTTTTTACTGTCAAAGAAGTAGTTTTAACCCATTTCTTAAAAAAAAACCATCACACACAAAATAAAAAAAAAATCAATCAACATGAACAAACCAAGATATATATATATTTCATTAGATTACAAAAGTGAATTATCAGTGAGACAGAAATACAGTTAAATGACATGTATTGACAATTAAGCGCTTTAAGAGTACTATTCATATAATGATTGATGTCAGCCATCGTGGTCTAGTGGTATCATGCATAGACTGAAGAGTATTGATTATAAAGAAAATACGCGCGGGTTCGAATTCTACACATGCCACTCGTTTTTGAGAGGATAAAAGATCGTAAGTTAAAAGGTTAAAGTTATAATTTAAGTTCTCTTAAGTTAATACTGTGGTCAGTGGATTCTTGAAAAATAATCTACAGTAAGAACAATAGACTGACGTCAGATAAATGGGTTAAATATATTTCATTTTCATATAATGGCGATGAATTTGTTTCTGTTTTTACTGTCAAAGAAGTAGTTTTAACCCATTTCTTAAAAAAAAAACATCACACACAAAATTAAAAAAAAAATCAATTAACATGAACAAACCAAGATATATATATTTCATTAGATTACAAAAGTGAATTATCAGTGAGACAGAAATACAGTTAAATGACATGTATTGACAATTAAGCGCTTTAAGAGTACTATTCATATAATGATTGATGTCAGCCATCGTGGTCTAGTGGTATCATGCATAGACTGAAGAGTATTGATTATAAAGAAAATACGCGCGGGTTCGAATTCTACACATGCCACTCGTTTTTGAGAGGATAAAAGATCGTAAGTTAAAAGGTTAAAGTTATAATTTAAGTTCTCTTAAGTTAATACTGTGGTCAGTGGATTCTTGAAAAATAATCTACAGTAAGAACAATAGACTGACGTCAGATAAATGGGTTAAGTAGTAGAGAATTGATAAGAAGTAGTGGATTCGTAAACGATAATCAACGAGCGACTTTAGTCGCAAGTTGATTATAGTTTACGAATCCACTACTTCTTATCAATTCTCTAGCTTAACCCATTTCTAGTAAAAAGACTGTCTGTGTTATGTTTTGACAATGAATCAACGGAATTTCATAAAAATGGTTTCGTATTTTGTCTTTTTTATTCTATAATAGCTGGAAATGATTATATCCACACGGTTCACGTCTATATTTAAGTTAACATAAGTTTGATATAACTTAAATGGGCTGTTAGCTCCCCTTTTTATTACCAGATTTAATACTTGTATATTTGTATTTCATTTAATGTTTTATCATTACAAAGTTTTTAAATTATATAGATTTTGGTATTTATGATTTATTCAAAAAGACATATCTAAATATACAGAATTTTTTAATCTTTTTTTGAATAGTTAAAAAAATCTAATTACCAAAATTTCGAAACCTTTCAAATTTACATATATAGTATTTAGCAATCTATGATTCTTTACAGCTGATTAAGGATTGCCTGCAATTTAACCGTACTAAGTCAAATACATGTATATAGCGTAGTTGCCATAATACTACAATTTTATGATGCTCCAGTAAATGATGCTTTCCGAAATAAATAAAATAATTGCTGAAGGTCTTTTATGAAAATTATACATGTATTTTGTTTAAACTGTTTCCCTTTCATTAAGTTTAGATTATTTTAACGTTATTACATTTGGCATCCATCGTAAACCAGTCAATAAACTAGTATTTTCTGTGGTTCGCATTCTGAATCTCCAGCAGAATTGCTCGTGCTATAGATGTACAATGTATAATTATGTCAATTTTTTACTATTACACTCAAGCTGTTCATAGCCGTGATCGTCTAGTCGTTGGTACCAAAAGACACAACTGTGATATTAGCAGTGCCAAGTTCAAACCTTGTACCCGAATTGAAATTTTTCATTGCCATTTTTTTCTCGACAAAAATATTGTTTTAATCTTAGAGGTATTATATACTTCATTTTCATTTTAAGGCGATGATTTTGTTTCTGGTTTTACAGTCTAAGAAGTAGTTTTACGGTCGTAGCTTATATATCACACTTTATTCAAATTAGAGTACGTTCAATGTTGACGTGATGTATATTTGGACCATTTATAATCAAACAAAGAAGAAAATATTGATAGTTCGATATCATTATAAGACTAAAACCTTAAGTAAGCATTTGCTATGATGAAAAGGAAAAGTCATTGTACGTTAAAAGTGACATGTGTAATGGGCATATGATTGTTTATTTTATCAAGGAATTGTACTAATATATACAATTCCTCGATTCTCTAGTGTTTAGAACTAGTGTGTAATAGCCACAATCGTATAAAGATCTATCGGTTCATTATAACGATGTTAAAAATCGACCAATGCTCAAACCTGACATCGTGAATAAACTCTATTTTAAGATATTTCCATACTGCTATATAACTATACTCAAGAACGTTCAAATTTAGAACATAATCTTCCTTAAAAAATAACGCACAAAACAATTTACATAAATTTGAAAAGAACAAGAACAAATCCAGACATAGTATATATATTTTATTAGATAACAAAAGCGAATTATCTCTGAGATAGAAATACAGTTTATTGACATGTATTGACAGTTGTGCGCTTTAAGAGTGTTATTTAAATATTGATTTATGTCAGCACTCGTGGTATAGTGGTATCATGCATAGACTGAAGACTCTACTGATTATGAAGAAATTACGCGCGAGTTCGAACCCTTCATATGCCTCTCGTTTTTGAAAGGATAAAAAATCGTAAGTTAAAAGTTATTATAAAATAAGTTATCTTAAGTTAACGAAGTGGTCAGTGGATTCTTGAAAAATAATCTACTGTAAGAACAATAAACTGACGTCAGAGAAATGGGTTAAATATATTTCATTTTCATATAATGGCTATGAATTTGTTTCTGTTTTTACTGTCAAAGAAGTAGTTTTAACCCATTTCTTAAAAAAAAAACATCACACACAAAATAAAAAAAAAATCAATAAACATGAACAAACCAAGATATATATATTTCATTAGATTACAAAAGTGAATTATCAGTGAGACAGAAATACAGTTAAATGACATGTATTGACAATTAAGCGCTTTAAGAGTACTATTCATATAATGATTGATGTCAGCCATCGTGGTCTAGTGGTATCATGCATAGACTGAAGAGTATTGATTATAAAGAAAATACGCGCGGGTTCGAATTCTACACATGCCACTCGTTTTTGAGAGGATAAAAGATCGTAAGTTAAAAGGTTAAAGTTATAATTTAAGTTCTCTTAAGTTAATACTGTGGTCAGTGGATTCTTGAAAAATAATCTACAGTAAGAACAATAGACTGACGTCAGAGAAATGGGTTAACAATGTGTAAAACTCGTACATCATTTTTAATATACAAATTAATATAAAAATCTGAGGTAATCGCATTAACTCCAAATGGAGCAAGGCCAGGTGAAAGTACCACCCGTCATCCATATTCAATCAAATGTCAAAAAGTGAATAGGACACAATCGATAAAATATCAATTCAAACGCCTATTCTAGTATCTTATTAACTGAACAGAACACAATCGGTACAGTATCAATTCAAACGACTATTCTAGTATCTTATTAACTGAACAGAACACAATCGGTAAAGTATCAATTCAAACGACTATTCTAGTATCTTATTAACTGAACAGGACACAATCGGTAAAGTATCAACTCAAACGACTATTCTAGTATCGTATTAACTGAACAGAACACAATCGGTAAAGTATCAACTCAAACGACTATTCTAGTATCGTATTAACTTAACAGAACACAATCGGTAAAGTATCAATACAAACGACTATTCTAGTATCTTATTAACTAAGAACAACCAGAAAATACTTCATGCTAAACTCTTACTTTTTACCTGAAAAAAAAAACAACCGACAAAAACATTAAAATATGTTTGAAGACGACCGGTAAGATCCGGCAAGGTTTTATTTGAATTTTTTGGTTGAGATTGAGATAAGAGCTGATGACCTCTGGGATGTGGTTTTATATCGTTTCCTACAGCAGACATTGAGATAAAATGACTGAATTAGTTTTCAGTCATTATCGAAAATAAATACATTGATGGTAAGTATACCTTGAGGTTTGTCACGTGGTTGTACTTGGAACTCATGCTCTCCAAGAGGCTTATCTAGGATTGACACATCTAGCTTGTAAGAACCGGCGTAGAACGGTACAAAAGTCACTCGGAATTCTTCAGAGCCATTCTGGATTACACGGACGTCAACTGTTGCACCTGTTTATAAATATTTTCCGTGTAAAAAGTTGCATACTATTCAAAGAAATTGTTTATCTCAAAATATATCTTGCAGTTTATAAGGAGATGTTCAAATGCCCTAACAAATAGATTGAAAGGTTATATGCACAGCAAGATGAGCTAGATATTTAAGAGTTAAAACAAGAAAAATACCTTTCTTACATATATTGTCATAAATTTATGTTCATATCCGACTTGAATATGATGTTATGTCATTTAAAATGTTAAAAACCCATTTATATTGTATTTCAATGCTTAGAAAAAGAATAAATATGGATTTCACCATGCTCAGACTAGAATCTTACCATTTGGGTCTGTTAAGGTTGCTTTCAAATGTCCTACGTCTTCTGTCAATGGTTTGCCAACATAATTACACAACACAACAAGGAACGTTACAGTCTCGTCTTGTACAGCATCATTCTGTTTTGGCGTGATTTTAGTGTTTGGTTGGTAGGCATTAGATGACCATACCTTTGCCATGGTTGACACTTTGTTCTGAATTTCTTGTGAAAGTCCTTTACAGTTGAATCCGATGGTTGCTACCTCGTGCGGTTCCTTGTCAAACCACTCATTGTGAAGCTTGTCGAGTCTGTCAACAACTGTACCTTCAATCTGTAGGAATGCAGGAGGATTGTTATACAACAGTGTCTGATCTGCAAATTCAGCCGCTTCGTTGATGTGCTTTTGTTGTTGTTTCAAATTTCTGAGTTGGTTCTCCAATGTTCCAGCTTTGATTTGTACATATTTATCAACGTCTCTCTTCAACTCATCTCGACGTTTCTCCAGGGTCTGAATGTAGTGGTCGAAATTATTGTTGATCTCTGTCGCGACCTCTTTTCCAAGGGCTCTTACACTTTGAACTTCACGACCAATACTTTCTATTATTTGCTTGATTTCTCTCCCCGTCATGTTAACATCATCAATGCGTTTCCGCATGCCATCTTTTTTCTCTATCGATATTTTAAGGATTTCTTTAATATCATGCCCTAACTCTTGTTTATGAGTTAGCAGGGCACAAATGAAGCAAATTGGTTTCTGGCAATCATCTTTATTGCAATAAAGCTCTAGCTCCCGGTCGTGATCTGGACACTTTTGTTGATGACAGAAAGCATCTAAATTCTCCTTTTTCTGCAAAGACTGAAGTTCCAATAGTTCATGACCCCTTGTGACATTAGTCCTTTTGTGGGCAACATGACACTCTTCGCACAAGAACTCCGAACAATTCTTGCATCGAAAGCTTGCTTGCTTGGTGTCTCCGCATGACTGACAGATAATCGCTCCAGGTGCCAATTTGACCCTGACAAAATCCATAAGATCCTGTCTTGTATTATCTCGTGGGAAAGAAGAAACGTCTCCTTTAAATTCGTGTTTCTGATCGCATTCTGGGCATGGTAAAACACCATCTTTTGCCAAATTGTGCACGCATTGGTTACACATAGAATGCAGGCATGGTAACAAACGGGCGAAATTTTCTATGTCATCGTATTCATTGCTACATCCAGAACAACAAAGGAATTTCTGTTTCAGTTGTGATGTGGTCAATGTTAACGTGCCTTTGAATGCTGGTCCCGCCATAATGTGAATCTAAAATACAACCAATTACTAGTAAATGGACTGAAACATGTGTATAACTTACTTTAACACATGTCGACGCTCATACTTTTCCTTTTCCTACGTTTTACGTTATAAACTGTTTTACATTTGAATTCCAAAGATAAAAAAATTGTCACTTTGTGCGTATCAAAACTGTAAAACGAAAGTAAAATAACTTCTTATCAAGTAGATAATATGAAACTTTTGATACGATCAATAGGTAAACTTAACATGAAGGCAGGCAACATATTTTAATGTTCTGCTAGACCAATCTTACTTTTCCGCCAGCACAACACTGGTTAAAGTTCCATAACGAAAATTAATAATTGGTACTGGGTTTTCCACCTTTGTAATTTCTAAAATTAACTTTCTATGTAAGTTGTCATATGACAAGACTAAAAATAGATTAAAAAAACCGATAAACAAAGTTTTTCGAAAACGGGTTGTTTCTTAAATGGCTTATTGTAAAAGTAAAATTGAAACTTGAATTTGAATATTTGTATTTGACTTCATGCATGACGAAAAAATCTTATTTTATTAGCGATTCCATAGTTTCACATTGTCAATGTTTATCATTTAAGAGCTAATCAAGAATTTCGACCAATATATGATTAAATCGAGAAGATTGTCTGGCTAAAAATTACGAATTGCTTATAACTTGAAAATTGCATGCTTACTAACTAAACCTTATTTCACATATTAGAAAGTTTAAGCATTGACATTTTCTGGAATTTTCAAATGATGAGTGCACTTTGAAACAAATATATAAAAAGTTGCGTAATGCCGTACGTGATTATCATAAAGAAACCCTACACAACGAAACAAGGCTACCAGCTGGTTGGGACAAACGCATACAACAACTCGCATCAAATAAACAACAAGACATTATATTGTAACTTTTGAAATTTATTTTCTACTATTGTATAACTTTGTTGAATAAAAGTATTCCGGCGATAAGAGTACTTTTTCAAATAAAACGGGCACATTGATCATGCATTGTCTAGTGTTAAAGTTATTTCCTCTGAATTGTGTCTTTCTTATTATTTTATTCTTGCCTTCCGATAAATTAAAAGAAAAACGGACTACACAACAGGAGAAAGGGGAGGGGAGCACTTCAATTCTTTTGTTTTAGAAATGAGCAGCTAAGGCATTATTAGCCCAACCTTTTCATTTATTTTCAATAACAAAATTACAAACCCTATCATATTTTTCGACAAAAAATACACGCATTAAATATAAGGAGATGTTATATTATTGCCAATGAGACAACTATCCAACAGAGTCCAAGTGAGGTGGAAATAAGCAACTACAGGTCACCCTACGGCATTCAACCATGAGCTAAACCCATAGCATGTAGCTAGTTTTAAAAGACCCTGACATCGAAATATGATTTAGTCCTTTTCATTTAATTTTAGGCCAAAAATACGTTCAGTTACTGATTCTACAGCTTCATCCCTTCACTCATTAAATAAAAATAAGTGCCCCCCCCTCCTTCATAGTTAAAGCATTTTATGGATATTGAATGTTAAATAGACAGTATTGGTACAACATTCGAAAAAAATTGTATTTTTACCATTTTTTAGGCCTATGGATTTTTTGTACTCTTTTTGTGTGTTTGGGGGGGGGGGGGTTGGAAAGTTATATGTTTAGAAATACGGGGTAGCATTTTAGGGAGTTTGATTTCCATTTACGAAAAATGGCTGTTCTATATGAAAACGAAAGTAGAAATAAATAACTGAATTAAATAGTATTTATATATTGTCAATATCAGTAAAATCTAATGGAATATGGAAAAATGTTCACTTACCACCTACAAAACAACAGAATTAGATCTGATTTAATTATATACTCCAATAGTAGTCATCTGAAAAACAAGGAATTTATAACACAACTATTTACTTTCCAATACGTCAGAGCATACGCAGACCTACGTATATGGATAATATAAGACAAATCTGCGTGCCGTGTGCAGAGTGTCGTGTACAATCTGATCTCGATATTAAAGCGGCGCGAGGTTTAAAATGATGATATCTCGTAAAGTTTAATATATAGATAGATTGACTAATTTAAAGTATAATTGTGTCAGTCAGTTTTACTAAAACGCATTATAAGAACTCGCTTTTCGGAAAAAGGTCACTTAAGGTGGCTGGGGGGTCTTAATTAAAAACCATAGAATTTTTTAATAATTTGTAAAAATGAAGTTTTTATCATGCTTTTTTTTTTAAATACAATAAAAAGTATGGGTCCCCGGACTTTTTTTTCACGCTGCAGGTTGTGCAAAATTGTCAGATTTTGTATAGATTATGCATGGAAATCCAATTTTGTGTGATAAAAAGAAAACTACTCCAGAAAATTTTAAGATAAAATGTGAGAAGGTAGCTCTTATAACATGCTTTCAGATAAGAAAAAGAAAAAATGGGGTCACCGGACTTGTTTTCTTGCTACATATTGAAATAGGTAAATTCACAACACTTTCTATTATAAAATTACTTTTATCTGAGTTATCTCCCCTACTATCTGAGTTATCTCCCCTTATTTGGCAAATTTGAAAAAAAAAATTAATCAAACAAAAATATTGTGTCTTTTAGAAAATACAGCCATAAGTATGATAAAACATATAATTTTCTATATAAACATTAAAAGTCTTACACATAAATTACATACTAATCTCAAAATTTGCACATTTCATTATAGATCTAGACCAATTATAATCTGCTACTTCAAAATCCAAGATGGAGGAAGACACCCGAGCCACCTTAAGCAATCAAAGCCATAATCAGTTGAGGCACTAGTTTAGGAACCATTCCCAGGCTTCATTTAAAAGGGATTACTGATATAAAATCAACCGGTAAAGTTCTAGCATTATGATACTTTGTCAAATAATAGAAAAGACATGAGACTTTGGCAAATGTCAATTAACTTTCAACACAAGAAAACCAAAATAAACATATATATAGAAACGAACCAAAAATTAAAACTCCATCTGACATAGTCGAGAATATATTAATCAAAGGTATATGAGCGAACTCTGGAACTAACATGTAAAGTTTATAGAAAAGTAAAATCGCTATCAGAACTTGTGGGTTATATCAGGTGTGGCCCAAAAGAGTTGGCATGTTCTGTGTCTATTTAACACATTGCAAATGTAAAATGATTTCAAATTACGGGTATCTTATATAGAACGTCCAGATAAAAGTAACGATCCTTGAAGTTCGTACAAAGTTGTCATGTCATTATGAAAAATAATACAGTAATAAAATATATATCGAAACAGGCAAATAAATATGAAAAATATGATGGGAACTAAAAATTACACTGATCTATGATATCTATATTTCGGATAAAACATATCGACCTTTTATCAATATCAGTACTCGATGTAAATGGCGAAATAATAGTTTTAAGCTGTAAAATTGAGTTAAGCCATTTCAATTGATATTTTATAGTGTGTCTTTCTATGTTGTGATGTTACACTATTGTTACAGATAAGGGTGAAGGTTTGGTACCATTAAAACGTTTAAACCCGCTGCAATTGTTTGCACCTGTCCTAAGTCAGGAATCTGATGTTCAGTAGTTGTCGTTTGTTGATGTGGTTCACATGTGTTTCTCGTTTTTTATATAGATTAGACCGTTGGTTTTCCCGTTTGAATGGTTTTACACTAGTAATTTTTGGGGCCCTGTATAGCTTGCTGTTCGGTGTGAGCCAAGGCTCCGTGTTGAAGACCGTACTCTGACCTATAATGGTTTACTTTTATAAATTTTGACTTGGATGGAGATTTGTCTCATTGGCACTCATACCACATCTTCTTATATCTATATAAGTCATAAAAGAAAAGATTCTTAATAAAAGATGCAAGCAACAATAGAGATTTTGGACAGCAAATAATCTTAATCAGTATTGGTTGCCTAATGTAAATTGGTGGCTAAGGAATATTATTCATCGTTAGAAATCCTTAACTTTATACAAATTGATCATCGTTCGGCGAACAGATAGACTTCTGTGTTTTGTTACCTGAATAGTAATACAAATCAAACAAGCTCTATTCAATGTCGGCAATATTAACATAAACTGGAATCCGCTTGTATTTACGCGACACTCAGATGAACAGAGTGTATTAGTCAATCGAGAATCAGCTTAGATGCAAATAATACAACATTTACTCGCGTTGAGCTTTTGAACCTACATAATACAGTTTTAACAAAAAATAGGAGGAAAGTGTTTACCTCATAAGGGAAAAACAAAGGAAAAGGCTGCCGAAGGTTTCATAAAGGGTAACTTTTTAATGGTCGATATGGAGCTGCAGTTTATCACTATGGTCAAACCTTCAACAAAATGGTGGAAAACTTGTTTCCGGTTTTTGGGATCTTTTACAAAACATAACAACTGAGAAAGAAGAGCAGATGACTTCCTGCTTTGTATATCTGAAAAGTAAGATGGCTTGTATAAGACAATGAAAATAAAATTCGTAACCACATTTTTCCTTCGGGAGTTTATCGGTATCACAAACCTCACATTATGCTCCTGAAAGGAAGAAAGGTCAATTTGGATCTATATACCGTGGCGGTGAAGAACCTCCAATAATATTACGGCGAATTTCTTTACAATATTCGCTTTTCTCAGGAGTTTTCGTAAAAAATCTCAGAAAAACATAAATAAGTAAGTAAAACTTAATTTTGATTCAAGCCAGCATACTTATAAATAATTATAAAACAGCACAAATCTAGCATACACACACTTTGCTATGCGATATGGTTTTGCTCATTGTTGAAGGATGTACTATGCCATACAATTGCTAACTTCTACATCATTAGGTCTGTGGTGAAAATTTGTCTCAATTGCAATCACACCACATCTTCTTGTTCTATTCTTATCGACTGAACAAGACTTTTAAAATGTGTGAAGCTGTTTTAAGTTCTAAATTGGTCTAGTTAAACATTCAATAGAACGGAGAAACGAAAAGATTGCTTACCATATGTGGTATTTCGAACCTGTTGTATTTCAAGGATGTTACTGTGTTTTAAAGAATATTTTGAATGTTTAATATGTAGTAAATCTTGTAAACATAAAGGAGCCATGTTATTATTCAAAATGTTGTAGGTCTCAAGTGGCATTGTCCTGATGCGTCTGACTTGTAGGGTTTGAACCTTTGCGTTCTCATGAATAGTTTCAGATGATATTATACTATAATATATATTAATCAACGTAGACAAATCGTCGTGTGAATCTTATAATGATGTATTTTACCTTTGGTACTAGTGGTAAAATTTTAAATTGATAAAAGTTTAAAAGCTCAATATCACAAATATTTGACTGAGACATAAAAAAGTTATATATGAATCGAATTAACTTACGTGAAGAGTAACTCTTTGCTCGATTGTTTTTTCAATAAAGCAACGTAGACAAATAAAGCATCCCCCTTTTTGGAGATAGAACATTTCACTATAAACAATGTAGTTTTAAAAATTTATCCCTATATTTCCATTGGAGATGGACCATGGATTTTTTAACTTTGTAATATTCCCAATTCTGTAATGCTGGATTTGCTAAAATTGCTCATAGATTGACTTCAAACCATGCAAACCTTTAATCATAGTACTAATAAGATAATTTTGATAACAATTATCTAACAGCTAAAATACATGGGAAATAGAGGAGATACAACACTATAAACATATTTTCCCTGAACTAACTAGATGAATAAGCCATTATAATCCAATGGAAGTGTGGAGATAGAACAGTGTAGTTCTAACAAAAACTCGTAGAGTGTAGAAATATCGTATTATAGTTGTAAAGGGAGATGGACCATTGTACATGGATCTCAAATTATAGCTTTATCGGAAATTTGTACATTTTCCCTTTGATCTTCGTGCTGAAGTCCATCTGCGCAATGTATCAATGAAATGCACGCGACTTCATTCATACAACCGAACAACTATCCCAACATTTTGTACGCGTTAAAGTAGTTTTACTAACTATTTCATTTTACTTCATATTCTCAATCAAAAAATCATACAGTTAAGACAAATTGCCGATAAAAAGAATAATGGTGTTTTATTTTTTGATCTCGAATATCAGCTCACCCTAGAGGGCTCGCTTGATATTCTTACTGATAAAGTCAGTATCAAAAACAAAAATGTCATTATTCTATTTATCTCGATTTTTATCAAAAGTGGAAATATAACACTCTAAGATTCACTAGACGAAATCTTAACGCTCTCTCTTGTATTTTTGTTTCTGTACAAAAATGGCAATCCAACGGGCACTTTCAAATTTAATCAAAATGGCGGTATGGTCAATTGTGTATTTGTTAAATCTGTTCAAAAAAGGATATAATTCTCTTGAAATCATTTAGCTGCTGTGACACCTTTCCACACAAGTAACTTATATTTGCATCAAATTGAAGTTGGTAAGCTTTTACATCAATTTGGATTGACGGAATTATTGCAAATGTTTATTTCTTCAGCAAGGACTTGAATTTTTTTAGGATTTACATGCTTCTTATTTTCTTTGAACCACTCAATCACCACTTGAGACTCCGCTTGTGAAGTAGACACTAGAGTGTCATAACAAAGACTGCCGAAAGACAGTGTATTGTTGGCAGCATAACTATACAAGGTACTCTGTTTAAAGAAATGAAAAACATCGTGTAAGAAGAAATTACACAAAAGGGTCACCAAAATAGAGCCTTTTGGTACAGTCCGTTTTCCAGTAGTATGGTCATATTTATATGCACGCTGGTCTATGTCTTTCGGGTTTTCCTATACACTACAACTTCTAGAGATTTTTTTAAATTTTTTATTTTGTGACATAATCTCTACTTTAGTCATCTTTAATTATATATGCATATAAGTATAAAAGTTCTAATTGTAATATCAGAATCGAAATACGGTAATTTTCTAATTCATTCCATGCTCTATAACATTGAGAATGGAAATGGGGAATGTGTCA